TCATATTTGTGGTGAAACTGTGCCTCAAGAGTATTCACCTTATTGAGGGTCTGCTGCAACTCTTCAGCCAGATCCCGACTTCGGGGGTCGTTCCGTAGGCGATCACGCATCTCGCGACATCGGTCCCTGGAACAGCGATACTTTTCTAGCATGCGCGCAAAGGCCGCTGAACGAACATTGGCCCGGCGAATACTCTCCACCTCCATCACAAACATCTACAAAGAATTTTGAGAGGCGGTAAAAAACTGTTATTGCAAAAAGGAACGTCAAATTGAGAAACCAACAAAGTGATTCGCCATACCTTTATACAATGAGAGGCAACCTCGCCCATCAAGTCCAAATCTGTAATGCCCTACACGGAAGTGCTCTCCACCCGGGAATGCATCGCTGCAAACATATTCACCAAATTCTCCTCCTCTAACAACAAATTTTGCTCGTTGGGAATCCGGATGTATCGATAATCCCCTTGAGCCGGCATCACGGGCCGAGAGAAGCCCTCTTGAAACAAACGGACGTCTTCAGGATCCAGGTCTGATTCAGAATCATCCCCTTCACCTAAGTCGCCCTCTCTTACGGTGGCCCTAGAAGATGAGGCCTCTTCCGCATGAGAAATTGGGGCAGCAACATTCACCACGGCTTGACTAGCCGTCTCTTCCATCAATGCAGCTGCTGGAGAATCGCCTTCCCTCTCAGCAGCTGGAGTCAAAACTTGAATCGCCGAAGCGATGGTATCAGTAGCAACTTCGCTTATGCCAACCGGGGCAACCCCCAAAGAACGACCCTCCTCCAAGGTCGGCCCTGTCACGTTCCCTTCTGGTTCCGATGGAGGAGAATCTAAGCTGATTACCACCGGAAGGGATGGGTTGAACGCCACTCTACGTTGGACGTGTGGCTTTGCACTCTCCTCATCATCTTCACTTTGCATCATCTCAGTCCGAGGGCGCCTAACTCCTAAAGACTCATCCACCGTAGGCACGTGCCGCCGTGGAGAGTGAGCCGCCGTTGATTCAACAAAAGCCGCCCTTAAAACCAATCGGGGGACCGGCATTGCGACCAATTGTGCTGTTTCCCCCGGCCTTCGAAAGGCAAGTTGGGGGGCCCTCCTACGATGCGGTTGCTCTAATCACCAGAATAAGAAGGAGTTAGTAAAGAAGTAGATTAGGAAAAGCTAAAGAACGAAGCCGCAGATGAAACACTAACCAAAAGACGGCATGCGTCCATAAGTTGCCCAGAAAGACTCCCATGTGCGTATCCCCTCTGTGACGGGGAGCATAGCCTCGACCCACTCAAGTATTCCAGAGAGCGGCTCTGGCGGGGGACCCCCGGCTACAAGTACAAACAGAAGCGTTAACTTGTAACGTAAAAGACTCACCCTAAAAGCCGACAGAAATTATACAAAGAAAAGAGACTTACGTGTATAATTCCACTCCTTAGGGAAGTTGGTGGCATCTGCCACCAGATGTTCAGTTCTAATATAGAAAAAATGACAAAAGGGACGGACACCGACTTCGTCAGTCAGTTCCACAGTTAAACTACTGGCTCCACGAGGAACCAACCTAATCATTGTTCCCCTAGTCCTCTGAGGGGCGTACAGAGTAAGCACGTGCCTAAGAGTAATTTCCCTACGTGCTAACTCTGCGTATTTGATCAACATGGCCAGCAACTTGTAGCAAGAAGGAACTAATTGGCCAGGGCACACTCTGTAACGGCGGCATAGGTCTACTACTAGAATCGGAAGAGGTAGGTTAAATCCTAGCATGAAGGGATAAGGGTAACACATGCAGTATCCACTACGGTCAGTGTGCACTCTGCGCCAACCCTCAGCAAAGATAATACCTGCATATCCAGGAATTCCACATTCCACCTTCAAGCAGCGCATGTCTTCCACTCCCATCAGTGGAGCCTCATTTACATGATCTTTTCCTCCATCTTCGGAGAAATCAGTAGCCGGACCGTTGGGTAAGGAAAGAACATCGGTCGCCAACGGAGGCTTGTTAACATCTACGGCAGCGGTGGCCATTGCCACTGCAGAAGGCTGCTCAGTCGCTGGAGAAGCCATTGGAGCAATATCAGTACGGGAGCTAGAAGCCATTATTATCACAGATGTTGGAAAAAATCGGAAATAATTTGTCACAATGGTGAAACAAAGTCGAACAACTAACAACGTCGGAACGGTGCTTCGACGAATGAAAGATGAGAAATCTCAAAAGAAAAGAAAACTAACTTCTTCAGAAGTTTCACTTGAGCAAAAAGTGGAGAAGTAACAAACAAACAATGAGAATCCCTAATTTATAAAAAGGGGTCAAATGCGGTTATCACGAATCCCAATAGTCATTATTAATGACACGATTGGCTGCGAAACGATTCAGATCGGATGTGACAAGCATCATCATGACAAAACGTTATTAGGCAAGCGCTATATCGCCGAAACTAAGCGTCGCCTCTTTTGAAGCGCTCATAACTGACCACGGTCTTTTGAATTACCAAGAATATATCATGTTCAGGAACAAGCTTAGAACACCGGTCGTATCTGAAATTGAGCAAGCTTACATCCATGGCCACACTTATATTTCTAATAACGACATATCCCAATGAACGGTTTTAGTTACGACCGTCCTTGGAAAAGCAAAATTCGGTTACGACCGAGTTTGAACATACAACGGTTACAACCGTCTTCAAGAATAACAACATGGCTACGGCCGTTCCTGAGTAAAGTAGCGGTTACGGCCGTTCTCAAAACCATTATGCGTTGACAATCATTTACAAAGTTTGCTTAGTTACGACCTTTCTAATGAGGATAATTGTCGCTATCATCCTCACCCGGCTATAACAAAATGAAGCCTTTATGAAATTATGCCCATGACCGTCTTTGCGAAATCGAAATCAGGTTACGGCCACGTCCCAATGTGCAGAGGTTACGACCGTCTGTAGCAACGCCCAAGTAATTTTAGTTACATCCATCTAAATCATATTGTCAGTGACGACCGTCTCATCTGACCACAGTTCTGTTATTCCTATCATGACTGGTCACAGCTATTTGTAATTACGACCAAATCAATACACTGCCTCACGATCTAGTCTTACACGATAAGGATGACATAATCCGCTCATTGAGCTCGACCAGAGTACGGCCTCTATAAGCGGAGGGACTATCTGTATGGGTTAGAAATCGACCTTATAATAATCATTATGGTTATTAATTCTCCAACGATGTTTATTATTAATATAATAAGACTATCGGTCAAATATCCTCCCTATGAAAATTATATTCTCCAACTACAGAGGTCACGACCTACTACTCCAAGGGACACCCTCTCCATATGGCTATGGCCGTCCAGTTACAGTTGACAAAGATCATGTTATAAATACAAAGATAGAAAACCCTAGACATGGGGTTACTTCTTCTTCTTAACAAAAATCTTCTCTCTAAAAAAGAGAGACCATATGTAAGACTTTCCCATGGGAAGGCAGATCATTTTCTCCCCAAGATCTATAATAAAATCTTTACTTTTGTCATTCTCCATTATATATCATGCGTTTTATATGTTTGTTCCCTTATCTTTGGTTATTAATTGCGATCTGCTATGATTGACCCTTAGTGTAATAATTGATTGTGCTTAAGAAGTATTAAAATACTTTTTGGCTAAACAAGGAGCTTGGAGAATAAAAAATTGAGTTAAGAAAGTTAATGTTAAGTGAAAAAGTTTATAGTTGTTTCATTCTATAATCTTCACTTTGCTACCACTGTAATCAAATGTAACGATTGTTTTAATGAGATATTGTAAAATAAAGCTTATCACTATTTTGACTCCACCAACCATATAACACTCTCTTTTGAGTTTGAGGTCACTGCATTTACTAATTAGTATGATTCTTATTTTTGTGTTTCAACCAACCGCTTTTCATTATATTTAATGCAATTAATCAGGTAGTCCAATTTCTTTTGTCATTAGCTAGTACAACTCAACTGCCAACCTAGTAAGTGTAGAGCCCCAGAATCAGACAAGTAAAATAAATAAAGGTTTTTGTGAGGCGGAGAAAGAGAAAAGAGAAAAATGCTAAGTTAGGGCTTTTGCTGAGACCCTTGAACTGGAAAATATGTGTTTAAGATTTACGCTTTCATAAAAGAAAAAGAAAAAATCATTTATTTACATGGTTAGCTTCTTATCCTATATTGTATTAAAACGACCATTACTTATCAAAAGAAAATTGTGTAACGCTTATTTTAACATTTATTCTTTAGTCTTGCCTGTAAGTCGTTAGAACTTAGAAGCATGGAATTTGCAGCAGTTAATAAAATTCTAACTAACAAAACCATGAATCGATCAATATCAAACTTATTAGTATTATTTAGAATCTAGCATATAATTATATAGACCAAAATTAATGACGCATATTTTTGGTGTAATTATCAATTTATAAGATAGTTAATTATTACTAATACACTTCTACATAATGTAATTATCAATTTACAATCTAATCGAACCTGGCTACTAGTTAATTAATTAATAATATTAGTTAACAATGCAAATAATATATTTCTACTTACTTTAGTTATCAATTTAAGATAATTAAATTATCACTAAGATTTTACGTGTACCATTAATAAACTTCTACTTAGTGTATAATTAACAATGTATAAGCTAGTGAATCACTAACACTACTTAAGGATATATCCTTAGTGCGCAGAGGCGGATTTAGTGTGTATTTGATGGTTCACGTGAACCCATGCTCCCTCGGCTAAAATATGTATATGATGTACATAATCTGCAAAAATATAGTTATGTATATTGGATGACACCCATGGTCAAAAGGAGTGAAGTGGTTCAGTGGTTTTGCCTTCTTATTCTTAAAAGCCTAGATGCAAGGGATCGAATCCTTGCTTGACTTTTTTGGTTATTTATTTCTTTTTCTTAATTTTTTTCTCTTTCTATTTATTCTAATAGAATGCACCGTTTCATTTAGCCTCTACTCTGTCCACTGCGTTCCCCACTCCCAATTCCCAAACATTAAAATTATTCCCTAGTTGGATATTACTTTATCCCAAAAGTTAGTTCCCCACTCCCAAATCCCAAACATTAAAATTATTCCCTAGTTGGATATTACTTTATCCCAAAAGTTAGTTCCCCACTCCCAAATCCCAAACATTAAAATTATTCCCTAGTTGGATATTACTTTATCCCAAAAGTTAGTTCCCCACTCCCAAATCCCAAACATTAAAATTATTCCCTAGTTGGATATTACTTTATCCCAAAAGTCACGTTAAAAAGAAAGAAGCAAAACCTTTGTTCTTGACTTATTTTCTCTTTCTAAAAGCTCAATCTAATCTTGATTGCTTGATATCTTGTCTTCATTTATTCTCTGCCTCTGTTGTGCAGTGCTATTTTCCAATTCCTCCAAGGTAAGGTCCAATATTTTTCTAACTAGTTAATAAGTTTTCTTGTAAGTTTATTCCGAATTTGGAATTTTTTTCCCTGTAACTATTGAATGAAGGAGATTTTTTGATTTAGTTTTGTATCTTTCTGATTTAGTTTTGATTTTTTGATAACTTTTCTTGAGCTGATAGTGATCGTGTAACTTTTCTTTTTGATTTTTTTTGATTTTTTCATGTATATTTCTGATTTTTTTCATGTCTTGATCATTTTATTTTTTATTGATATTGAATTACCAGCCCATTTCGATTGTAGTAACCGAAAATCAGACAGTTTAGCTATAACCGGAAACCAGCCCAAGTTGGAGAAAAACTGTAAGTTTTCATTTTATTTTAATTGAACTTGAAAGGGGTGTGATTCCTCTATTTTAAAATGTTTGAAAGGGTGTGATTCCCTTATTTTTTTGAATACAGAAGGGGTGTGATTCCTCTTGTTTATTATGAATTTAAAAGTGTGATTCCCTTAAATTTATAATGAATTTGAATTTTGATAATGAGAGATATTTAAATTTGTAGGAACATCAAAATGGATAAATTTGTGATCAGGTCAAACATTGGCCAATCAAGTTCCAATGGTAATAGTCGGCCTTCTGTTAGTTCAAATATAGCTCCTGAAATCCAAAGAGAGACAATCTTATCCCCTCCTTTAAATGGTGGTAGTGTTCTTGAGCTAGGATCTCCCAATCCTGATCCCAAAGAAAGAATACCGATTCTTCAGTATGCCCCTAATATCCGAGATGATGTGAGGAGACATTATATTGAAAAAGGGGCTTGTCAACCGAGTGGCCATGCTTTCCCTAAAACTAAATTTGGGAACAAAATGCGTCAATTTAATCCCGATTGGTTTAAGGGTCCATATTCTCAATGGTTGGAATATAGCATAAAAAGTGACGCTGTATTCTGTTTGTGTTGTTATTTATTTAAGAATGAACTTGAAAGTCACGGTAATGCGGGAGATGCATTTACAAAAGATGGGTTTAAGGGTTGGAACAAAGGTACTGAAAGACTTAGAACGCATGTCGGGGAAGTAAGTAGTATCCATCACAAATGTTTTAATAGGATGCAAGATTTTGTAAATCAAGAACAATCGATTCAATCTTCTTTTCACAAGCAAAGTGAGAAAGTAAAAAATGATCATCGGATACGTTTAAATGCCTCAGTTGATGTAGTAAGATTTCTCTTGAGAAATGGATTGTCATTTCGTGGTCATAATGAAAGTGAAGATTCCGAATACAAAGGTCTTTTTCTTGAACTTTTGAAATTTTATGGGGATAAGAATTTAGATGTGGGAGAGGTAATATTACATAAAGCTCCAAAAAATGATATGATGATTTGTCCAGCAATTCAAAAGCATATTGTGGATGCTTGTGCTAAAGAAACAATTAAAGCTATTATCCAAGATTTGGATGATGACTTTTTTGGGATATTGGTTGATGAATCAAAGGATATCTCACATAAAGAGCAAATGGCCCTTGTTATACGATATGTTAACAAAAGAGGGGAGGTGATTGAGCGTTTCTTGGGTATTGTCCATGTGAATGATACATCTGCACTATCATTACAGAAAATAATTTATGATTTACTTTTGGATCACTCGTTAAGCTTTTCCAAGCTACGTGGACAAGGTTACGATGGAGCTAGTAATATGCAAGGAAGAATAAATGGCCTAAATCCTTGATTTTACAAGATGTTCCATCTGCCTATTGTGTTCATTGTTTTGCCCATCAGTTGCAATTAACACTTGTAGCTCTTTCTAAAAAGCATCCGGATGTGAATAATTTTTTTGATGTTGTCACTAACACATTGAATACTATTGGAGCATCTTTTAAACGCAGGGAAATACTTCGACAACACCAAGTAGAGAAGTTGGAAGAATTACTTAAATCTGGAGAAATACTTATCGGGCAGGGATTGAATCAAGAACGTGAGCTCCAACGACCGGGTGATACCCGTTGGGGTTCGCATTTTAAGACCTTGGAAAATTTCTTGATTATATTTTCTTCGATTGTTAACGTGCTTAAAGATATGCAACAAAATAGTCTTCTTTCTCTTGATAGATTTGCAGCAAAAAATCTTTTGGGTAATATTCAAGAATTTGAGTTTGTGTTTTTATTGCACTTGATGTTCAAGATGTTGCTTTTTACAAATGAATTGAACAAAGCTTTACAAAAGAAAGATCAAGACATAGTCAATGCTATGAGGTTGCTTGACCTTGCAAAGATACGATTGCAGACAATGAGGGAAAGTGAATTTGAGATCTTGATGAATGAAGTTTACTCGTTTTGTGGTAAACATGATATTATGATTCCCAAAATGGATGAAGATTATCCAAGATCGAAACGAAAGAGGTCGGGAGTTTCATATTCACATCACTTTAGTGTGGAAATATTTTATGCAGCTATTGATTTGCAGCTTCATGAGTTAAATAGTCGCTTTGATGTAGTGACTAATGGCTTACTCCTTGGTATGGCTTCTTTGAATCCGGTTGATTCATTTGCTAATTTTGACAAAGACAGAATAATGAAGTTGGCCGAGTATTATCCAAGTGAGTTTGATGACAACAAGCTTCGAGATCTCAGCTTTCAGTTTGATAGTTTTATTGTCTATGCTCGAATGCCTCGTAGCAAATTTATCAACTTGAAGGGAATGAAGGATCTTGCTATAGTGATGGCAGAGACGAAATTGGATCAAACTTGGTGTCATATTTATTTACTTGTGAAGTTGACTTTGATTCTACCTGTTGCTACTGCAAGCGTGGAAAGGGCATTCTCCTCAATGAAGCTCATAAAAAGTGATCTACGTAATAGCATTAGTGAAGAGTTTTTGAATGGTTGTTTAGTTTGCAATATAGAGCGTAAGGTATTTGCAACTGTAAGTAATGATGCTATTATTGATCGTTTTCAAAGTATGAAAACTCGTCGCGTACAATTGTAAATTGATAATATTTGTTTTTGTGATAATGAAACTAATTATTTTTTTGCTCGNCGTACAATTGTAAATTGATAATATTTGTTTTTGTGATAATGAAACTAATTAATTTTTTGTTCGGTTAGTTGTTGTGATTGTAAAATTTTATATTATCAAAGTAAATGTTAATCTTGAAAGTAAAGGTGCACCCATCGTCCCGTATTTCTAGATCCGCCTCTGTTAGTGCGTACACTTCAGCTTACTGTAATTATCAACATCTATAAGCAAATTGTAACTATTACACTTCTATACTTAAAGTAATTATCAATGAATTGCCTAATTAATTATTAGTATTAATTAACGATATTGCTAATATAGTTTTACTTACTTTAGTTGTCAATTTAAAATGAACAATCATAAATATTTGTCACGTATACCATTAAACTTCTACCTGGTGTGTAATTATCAATGTATAGATGTATAGGCTAGTGAATCACTAACATTACTTAAGGATATATTCTTAGTACACTTTTACTTAGTGTAATTAACAATCTATAAGCTAGTGATAACCATTACACTTCTACTTAGTGTAACTATCAATATATAGGCTAATCAAATATTAACATTACTTAACGATACCACTAATAAACCTATACTTACTTTAATTGTATTTAAAGATAAACGATCACTAACATTTCTCACAAAACAGTATTAATACACTTTCATTTAGTGTATAATTATCAATGTACATGCTAATCAATCACTAACATTACTTATATAATGATGACCCTATTTCACTAATACTTGGTGCTATTATTGTATTGGGCAAATTCGGTTACCTAAGACCTCAAAGCCGTGTATGCGTACTCGTTCATAAAGAAGCGGCCTCGATAGGGAACGTCCCTGATAAGAACGACATTAGTAGGAACGACCTTGACTAAGCCTGTCTAAGTGTGGACGGCCCAAGCAATAATGTCGTTGGGATAACGCAACTCGGTGACAAGACCTGTAAGGGCGACGTTGCAGGCTCTGACATATCCGTACCCTGAGTCCACCAACCATTGTACTTCACTTTAGTATTTCGAGGAGAGGCTCCTACTATATTAAGGAGACCTCACCCTCTTTGTAAGGCTCATGTGTATCTTTTAACTAAGAATATACAACTCTCTCTCTCCAATTCTCTATCTCTATCTTGCTCAAGTTATTGAATATATTGTCATTATCGTCTCTTAAAGCTTATTATACTTGGTTCCGATTAACCCATTATTTACAAACATTGATTGTTCTTGAGCTTAAAGCATCCCTTAAAACTTTTAGCTAAACAATTTGGCGCCGTCTGTGGGGATTTCGTGAACCAAAATTGTAGTTTATCTCTAGAGAATCCGATAAAAGAAATTTCCTGCAAAACATACCATGGCTGAAAACGATATGAGGTTGAAAGCAGCACTAATACCAGGAGTCAACCTGTTGGGATCTCTCAACGAGGTAGCTGGGGAGGATATCGCAAACACAACGCCGAGCACTGTTCTAAGTGGGGTAACACCACCACCCCCACCTAGAGATCAGGCAGATCCACAAGAAAAGGGAGCTTCCACCTCTGCCTCTACGAAAGCACCTCCAGAGGTCAAGGAACTCTTAACAGGGTGGCTGACCAACGTTCTGAGCGACTTGGTTAAGAAGCCACCGGCAAACAATGCCAAACAAGCACAAACAATAGATCTCTCTGCAGCTGAGGAGGAACTCGAGGACGTTTGAGCAGACCATGCACTCACCGACATGCAAGCTGGTGACGATACCCTCGCAGCCATCCTCAAAAAGGTAAAAGAAATGGAAACGAGAATAGGTCGCTACGCGACCAAATGAAAGAACATCAGGAACAGGTAGACAAGATCCCAGGTGCACCGAAATTGCTACCCAAAAGAGAAATGGGAAAATTCGTGGAACAACCCTGCACCGAAGAGGTTGCACCATACCCCATCCCAAAGACTTTCAAAATGCCTCTATACTTGAAGGTATATGATGGAACCTCGGACCCCGAGGACCATCTAGTTCACTATGTCACAACTGTCAAAGGGAACGATCTATCAAAGGAACAAGTATCATCCGTACTACTTAAAAAGTTCGGAGAAACCCTGGCCGGGAGAGCCCTCACTTGGAACTCTCAGCTACCGGCCAGGGGTATCTCCATGTTCGAAGAAATGGCGGGTAAGTTCGTCACTGCTCACACCGGGGCCAAAAAGGCGAAGTCTCGAGTCAACGACATATTCGCCACTCGACAAACCTCAGGAGAAGGACTCAGGGAGTTCTTAGCTAGGTTCAACAGAGTGAGAATGAGCCTACCCAACATATCAAAAGGTATGGCAGTGGCAGCTTTTCAAAACGGGCTCAGCAGGGATGGCTCAAGGGCAACAAAGAAGCTGCTCAACCACCTCATGAAATATCCTCCCACCACTTGGGAAGAAATACACAACGCCTACTCTACCGAAGTGCGCGGGGACGACAACGATCTCAACGGCCCAACCAGGTGATTGACAACAGTGCACCCAGAAATTCGGAGAGAGCGACGCAGAGAGGGACGTCGAGAACAAGCCCCTCGTCCAAACATGGAAAGGCACCAGCCATACAATACGTCTTCACACCCGCCCCCGCCAAGGCATGCGGACGTCGTGCAACGACATATCGCTCCACTATAGAACGACTGAGGTATGCCTCCTTTATTATCTGCACATAACTTTTGTGTATCTCCTTTAGAAATAGTGTACGCACTAGAAAAGCTCGACAGCAAAGTGCAATGGCTGACGAGGATGAAATCCGACCCTGCCACCAGAAAATCAAAGGACCTATGCAAATTTCATAAAGAACGCGGGAACATGACCGAGGACTGCATAGGCCATCGACATAAAATGGTCAGGATGCTCAAGCAGTGATTCTTGAAATAATTACTAAGCGACAAAGGAAAACTCAATTTTGCACGAGGACGGGAACAACCTCAGGGGCCGCCAAGGCCGCCCTCGCCAACCCGTACCATCAATACCATCAACATGATCATTGGAGACGGTGACGACTAAGCCATAAACCATGTAAAGTTAACCACCACACACAAGTTAAAACAAAACGTCGCTCACGAATGGTATGATGATTTTGAGGATAGTATCACTGTAAGGCCCCAGAATTTTTTTTTCAAGCAAATCGAGATTTCGTCATGCCAAGCTAAGTGAATTATTTTATATTGTGTGAAAATGAGGGTTAATGATATGATGAATATCAATTAGTTATGTAAATAAGCATATAAGTCATATTAGAGGGGTCTAAGGAAAAGCCTAAGTCAAAGCCAAGTTGGAAAATTTCAGATTTGACAAAATCTGTGAATAAATACGCATATGACCTCACTTTTAACGATCATATCTACAGTTAGTGTGGTGATCTATCTATCACATTAAATCCATTTGAGTCTAGTTTCCAACGCAACAAACCGTGCATCATTTGGAGGTGTATTCGGAAAGTTATGATCATTTTACTAGGCATGTGCCAGATGCGCGCACGTGCACAAATGCGCCCAAGGCAGAATGCTGGGCAAAAAAATGCACGGACAATGCGCGCCCGTGCATGTGAAGCGACTTTAATTACCACAAGACCGGTTTAGAATGTTCCCAAGTCATTTTTGGGGTTTAGGTTCGCTCTCTCAAGCTAATTTAGTCCCAATCTTCATATTCATGATCCAAGGTAAGCTTTTTTGAGTACTTTGAGTGATTTCTAACCCCTAATCACTTATGCTAACAAGGATTGATCTTCAAATCCTTAGATTTTTCTTCAAGTTCTTGAATTCATCAAGAACACCACAAGTGAGGATTCTAAAAATTCTTACTACAAAGGTATGTCTATCATCCCTAACTACTCTATGGTGATTATTTATGTATGATATATACATTAGAACTCATGGGATGGTTATTAGAAGCTTTAAATTTTCCATATAATTACATAGTTATTGTAGAGATTATGAGATTGGTTCTTATGGTATTATTCTTGGTGTAATTGTATTATGTATACTTGTATGTGCAAATTAGGATTTTTGGGAAGATTGATGAACACAAATAGGTAAAGATTGGGTTGGGTAATGAAGGAAATCTTATAAAAGAGGGTTATAAATTAAGATGCTCATCTAGTGTTTGATAAAATACTCAAATGAGTTGAAACCATGAATGGCTTCCTAATTTGTGTTAAATTTTGCTATGTTTCAAGTAGATTGGGATTGCTAGAATTTCCGAAACGACGTAGTAACTTAAGGAAATCTTAAACAAGGTATGTATGGCTAACTCTGAATCTTGTGAAATTGCCAATGTGTTGACACGTGAAATTGTTGTTACTCGAAGCCTATGTGGGAATTATTGTGTAAAGTTCTTGTGGTTAATATTCATACGGTAACATCTTGTGGTGGAAGTTGAGGAAATTGAAATTGAAATGGTTCATGAAATGGTGGAAATAGAAACATTGTGTCAATATGAATTGTGAATAAATTGTTGAACATGAGGAAAACTATTATTGATCGGTTGTGGAATATCTTACTTCTAATAGTGATTACTTTCTAGTAAGTGGTACTGTGATTTCTTTGAAATTGTTGTTGTGATATTTGTTGTTTGTAACTTGAAACTGTCAGGCAGGGTCGGGTTGCACGCTGCAACTAGGTAAAATAAGGTGTGGGTTGGGGTGATAAGGGTGGTCGAGGTAATAAGGGTGGCCAAGGTAATAAGGGTGAAAATGTAATTTGATATCACAATGAAACGAATTAAAACTGAAAAGTGATCAATGTGAAATATGAAGGGAGACAGTAGGAGAGTTTGAAACTTGTGAGGCACAGATTGTCCCTTTGTTTGGCTAATTGAACTGTTCGTTGTGAAGTGTTTGGTTGGTGTTTTCATTGTTGTTCAGTTATCTATTTGTTTATGCATATTTTGGCTTGAGTTTACTTGGGACAGGGTTTGTTTATACATACCAGTACAATTCAAATGTGCTGACGTCCTTTT